TCGTCCTCTCGCTCGCCCGTGCGCGCGCCCCGCGCCCTCCAGCGCGCCGGCGGGACCATGAAGAAGTTCTCTCGAATGCCCAAGTCGGAGGGCGGTGGCGGCGGCGGAGCGGCGGGTGGCGGGGCCGGGGCCGGGGCCGGCCCTGGCTCCGGGAGCTCGTCTCTGGGGGTCCGGGTGTTCGCGGTCGGCCGCTACCAGGTCACCCTGGAGGAGACGCTGGCCGAAGGTACGGGCGCCCAGGGAGGCTCGGGCAGGCAGGTGAGGGAGGGCTGGGGTGTGGCGGTGGCTTCTCCCGGTCCTCGCCCGCTTTTCCCCTCGCCTTCTCGGCTTCCTCTTCTTCCCCCTTCTGCCTCGTCTGCTGGGCCAGCGGGGACTCTTACTTAAAGAGGAGCTCCGGCTTTCGTTCTTAAGCCGGCTTTTCTCGCCGCTGGCAGCTCTGAGCAGTGCACGGTTCTCTCATTACGAGTTTAAGTCATTTTCAGTCCTTCTTGACGCGAGGAAATAAATAGAAAACGTCCTAGCGAGTGATGTGGTGTCATGATTGGGCCACTGACTCATTAGAGGGTCAGATCAAGCAAGATTGAGGCTCTGCTCTGCCAGCTGTGGCTCAGGCGGTGTCATGCGTTGGCTTCTTCATCCGAGTGTCCACCCGCGCCGCGGGGCACAGGACCCTGCAGCCCTTGGTGTCGAGCTTGGGTTTGCTGCTGCTCAGTCTTCAGGTGAAAAACAATATATTTCTGTGTATGCGCGTGTTGGTGATGATACTTTGCCCCAGATTCAGTTAGGTTGCTTTGGGGGAGCAGGTAAACTTGAAGTCCGTTTATCTTTGTTATTTAGAATCTTGTCTATCAGACAAGGCGCTATTCATACCATTTCAGTGTGTCTCTTTGGTAGTACTCTAAAAGGTGATATGAAGGCAGGTTAACTTTCACTTGCAAAGTTTTGTGTTTGGTCCTTCATTATCTTTCCCAGGCTTTGTCAGCAGTTGCAAGTCTGCTTACAAAAAGTTTACTCCATTAAAAAAACATCCTACGCTTTAGTTTTGTATGTGTTGTACAATTGGCTTGTAGAAAATACTCTCTCTTGTTTATTGCATGCCTTTGAGTTTTTAATTGCAGAGTATTACAAAATAAATACTTATTAAAATTCACAAGACAATTTGTTGATAAGTTGTTCTCTTAAGCTCCAAGGTTAAGAGAAAAGAAATCGAAGAGAGTGGTTTTGGTTCTCTGAAAGTCAGACGTTGTGGTTTGAAGACAGTAGACTGAGATTCCACTTGTTTTTTGAAATGCTGCAAACACCCAAAGCTAATTAATGCAAGAGAAAAATCTGAAGGTTTTTGTCTATAAAATATTCTAAAGAGAAAGAGATCTTGAATTATTCAGGGATAGATGTCATCATTTTGCAAGCCATTGCTCCTAGTAATGAGCCTAGCCCAACCTTGGAGAGGTGGGAGGAGAATCCTTAGCTTCCCGAAAGAATGAATGTGTGGTGATTGGTCTTGATAGACAGCTTTACTGTGCTGTAAAATTTCCTAGCTCTCTATTACATATGAATTTCAAGTGTTGGTCTAGATCGAGTTGTAGGTTTTAAGAAGACATGGCTATTGACTCACATGCTATACTTCTGTCTTTGAGTTGTTGTAGTAACTGAAGTGTGGCTTGAGTAGTATTAACACTCACTTCATTTCACGAAATCCCAGATGAGTCTTTTTTTTTTTGAGGAAGATTAGCCCTGAGCTAACATCTGTTGCCAGTCCTCCTCTTTTTTGCTGAGGAAGATTGGCCTGGGCTAACATCTGTGCCCATCTTCCTCTACTTTATATGGGACGCCCTCACAGCATGGCTTGATGAGCCGTGTGTTGATCCGTGCCTGGGATCCGAACCTTTGAACCCTGGGCCGCCAATGCGGAGTGTGCGAACTTAACTGCTCTGCCACCGGGCTGGCCCCCAAGATGGATCTTTTGTTTAATAGAAAGAAAACATTGATATTTCATCAAACTAGACTGGATTTGTAGCTTGTATCACTGCTTTAAGCATATCCTGTTATTATCCTAAGCAAGTCATTTTCAGTAAAAGATAAGTAATTTTGGGAAATGCCGATAAAAATGAATTTCAAATGGAGAGTGCTCACTCAACCACAAAAAAAATTTAAAAATATCTTTTCAAGCACTAATGTCACTGTTAGAGTGTTCCACTGACTTTTGCCATAAATTTGTCATTTCTCTTGGAAAAATTTGTAATCAAGTGCTAGGAGGAAGCAAGGATTGAAGAAACCCTTATTGGAAGATGGAACTTCCCCACCCAACACCCGGCTCCTGGGACTAGGCTTTTAGTCTTCTCTGGAGGGGAGGCCAAGGCGTAGGCTTTCTTCCATTGTGTATTTCTCTTCAGCACACACACAACTGAATTTATCTATCCTCAGTTTACTTTTTGATCCTGACAGTTCTTATTTCAGATGCTTAATATCCTCTCTCCTTTACCGATAAGTGATGCCACGATTTAGACAACATGTTTAAGCACAAGTCTGGTTCACATTCAATAATTGACAGATATATTTGCCTCATTATAAGATTAGGGCAAGTGCTTGTGAAAAGGTGTTGGAGTTTAGAGTACCTGAACTGGGGAGAGGTATACCATTGAGTAGGAAAAGGGTAGAAGCAAAGACAGACCAAAAAACAAACTTGGTAGATTTTACATTTTTTGCTTTTGGTCACTGTTGTTTAAACAGGGCCAAGACCCTGTAGATGCTGTGCCCTGAGGTGTTTTTGCCAGGCTCCTGCAAAAGGTCATCTGCAGATGACCTTCAAAGTGCCATTGTATTGATTTTGGGATATTGTATTGATTTTGTGGATACAAATACATTTTAACAAGTAGGTGAATTCACAAATATGGAATCCTCAAATAATGAGGATCAGTGTATGTGTGTGTATATATGTATGTATTTGTGTATATATACATGCACATACATATTTATATATTATATATATTTAGTTAAAAAACAGATTCCCAGAGGTATACTTATGTTGTATGTATAACTAAACTGTTGGAGTAGTTTCCTCTCTGAAATAATATATGCTTTTTATTATAATTTCTAGTTATATGTTTGAAAATGCTGACAAGTTGCACCTTTTTAGTTCTTGCTTAAAGTTTAGAGGACTGATAGCATAGTGGGGCATTTTCATGGTTTCTTTCAAAAACAATTTAGTTTCAGAAGTGCATCCTAACCAAATCCAACTTTGGGCTGTAGAAATGAGGTAGAGCCGTATGTAAATTTTAGCTTGAAACAGTGTCAGATTGTCAAGCACATATAATTCAATGTAACTTTCCATGTTTTTATTAAAACATAAGACTGGCTTTTTGATCACATGCCTCCACAGGCCTTCAGTGCTAGTCAGAGGCATTTAATATTGATTGATAATGGGAAGACGTTGGTTCTCAAGTAGGGGACATCTTTTTCTAAATGTCTTTGGTACAAAGTGGCCTTAAATAAATGGGGAGCATAGAGACTGGGACACCATTCATAGTGTGTTGAGATAATCTAATCATGAGTTTTTGGGACTGGCTAGGAATGGTATTTTAAATGATTGGGTGGGTAAGACTTTCTGACATGGGTGTGGGAGTTGTTGGCACTGTCAGTAATTGGAGGCCAGGAATTTACTACAGAGTTCTGTAAAAGTAGCTCAGTAGTTCTCTCAAAGTTTACTGCTTAGACTGGGGTGAGTGGATTTAGGCTAAGTGTTAACCAATTCTCATTGTTAATTTTACAGGAAGGTAGTAAAATACATCTGATTTTGCAATGTAAATCCATAGGAAAATGATGGATTTAAGCATGATATCTCATTTGCAGAAATCGTCCTTGGCTACCCAGTAACTTGTGAGTTAAAGCTTCTGAGAGAGGACAGAGAGCAGAAGAAGGGGAGGATTTAACAAAAATATCAACAGCTGTTACTACTACATAACTATTTATTAAATGCATTTTGTGTGCCAGGCTCTGTACTAGGTGCTGTCTACACAGTGGAGAGCAAAACAGATCTTTCTCTGGCGTCATGGAACTTATAGTCTAGTATGGAAGATAAGTGTTAAACAAACAAAAATTATCAAGTTAATGTAGTTTACAATTTTGGTAAGTGTCATGAGAAGAAAGCACAGCATTTTATGAGAGAATAACTGATTCAGTTTATACTGGAGGATCAAGGAAGGCCTTTTCTGATATTTTAGTAGAAACCTGAAGTATGAGAAAAGTTAGGTAAAGGCAGAAGTGAGAAGGTGGGGGTGGTGTGTATGTCATGAAGAGAGAAGTCCCTGTGTGAGGAAGAGTTTCAGGAACTGAAATATGCCTAGAGCTGTGGACTATAGTCAATGAAGCACATGATAGAAGGACCCAAGATGATATTGTAGAGGTGACTAGGATCCAGATCTTTGTATGCCACTTTTGGTTTTTAGATTTTATCTGAAAATGCAATGGGAAGCTACTGAAGGTTTTAAATTAGGGCAGTGACATGCTCTGATTTGTATTTTCACAAGATCGTTGTGATTGCTATATAGAGACTAGTTGAGAGGTATATAAATTGGATGATGGTGTTAAGATGGTGGCAGTGGGATGGAGACGAATGTTATAATGCTTGAATGGGAAGACCTGGTGGGAGATTGGATGGGGGGTGTGTGTGTGTGTTGTAGGAAGTGTGAAGAATGACTTTCTTATGCAACTCTTGGATGGAGGTACCATTTGCTGAGATGGAGAAGAGTAGAGAAGGAACACATTTTTGTGGAGGAGTTGGGAGGATACCCAGTAGTTCCAGACATGTTTAGTTGAGATATCTGAGAGAAAATAAATGTCAAATGGGAAGTTGAGTGTATGGTCTCGTACTCAGGAGTAGTGTCTGGGCTTAGAGACAGGTACTTCTGATTAGTGAGCATTTGGCTGTAATGACAAAGCCCTAGGAGAGGATGGATGTAGGGAGAGAGTGTAGAATGAGAAGGGGAAGACTCTCACTGAAGGACTCCTGGACTGAAACATTAGTGTTCATCAGAATCATTTGGAGGGCTTGGTAAACCACAGATTGCTGAGCCTGACCCCCAGAATTTGATTCTGTATGTCTAGCTGGGGCCCGTAATTTGCATTTCTGCCAACTTGCTCACTGATGCTGATGGGTGCTGGTCCAGGAACCATACCTTGAGAACCACTAATTTACATTAGGCAAAGATTAAAAAGGACCTGCCAGAG